AAGCATAGAGACAAGTTAGGATAAATAAAACAATATTTCGCTGATGAAATCACGGAATCATAAAATTGCTTTAAAATCTATTAAGCTCTAAATGAGGGTATTATTAGTCATTTAATCTTATTATACGGAGTACTTAAGTAAAATACTTCGTAACGTTTAACACATGCATACAATTTTGAGCAGTATATTTACTTGTCTCTGATGTCAGGGAAGCAGAATAAAATGGGCTAAAGTGTTACGCCTTATGCTGCATAAAGTACAATTTAAAGGACATTTAAGCTCAAGAAGAGAAAAAAAATACAGTATCACACCCCAAAAAAGAAAAGGAAAATACAAAAGAAAAAACAAAATTAAAAAAGGAAAAAGATTACCCTTTATTTACCAAAAGTAAAGCAGTAAAAAACAGAAAATGGTGTACTTGAAATCTTGATTTTTACACAATCGATGTCAATGATTTCCATGAAATTCCGTGAAGGTTAATTTTTTTTTTTTTTTGTTTGCAATCCACATTCATGATTACGACTTTTTAACCCAATCTAAATGCACTAATAATCCCACTTATTGTAGTTTCTTAATTAGTATTTGCATAAACATACCTTAATTAGGTTTGCGAGAGAGACTTGGACTATGATATCTAATACTCAGGAGATTTAGCGAACATCATTAAATACACTTGCTCGTATAAGGTTTTAAAACATTTACAATTGTAACCACAATTTATGTCAAAACCCCACCAAAAAAAATTTAGGACCCTATTTGCAGAATTGTAGGTAAAGTTAAAATTTGTGAGATAAAAGTAAAGCAAAAAAATATAACCCGAGTATATAATAGAGATTTAAATTTGGTTAGAATCGGCGACAAAGGCGCCAGGATATAGTCATAGACTAACAGTATTGTATGTTTACAATTTACAAATAACGTGAGCAGTAGATTAAATAAACAAACAAACAAAACAAGTTGTTGTATATATTGTTGAGGTGTCGGTGGTGGTCTTTCTTCAAAGTCTTACTTCACTCACTCTTTTGCTCATCCTTCTTCTTCTGCTCCCACCTCACCTGCTCTACTCTACTTAACTCAACTTCTTCCCTACCATTTCCTCTCTCCTCATTTTCATCATTCATTTCAATTTCAAAGCAACCAATTAATCCATTCATTAACACATTGAATTCCAATGTTTTTCTGCTGAAATTTTGCATAAAGTTGCAATCTTTATTTCTGGGTTTTGTTGGGTTTTTTTGTTGTTTGATTTTTACAGATTTAGAAAATGCAGAGATCTGAGAGAGATTATCCAAGAAATAAAAAGAAGGAATCATCAAATTGTCTTTTTGGGTTTGGAAATTGGATCTCAAGTATTATGGTGGATCCAAGACAGATTCTTGCTGGGTTTCTTACTGTCACCATGTTTGTTATGCTTGCTCATATGATCAGAAGAGACCATTTTCATTCCAATTCTCAGGTGGGTTTTTCAAATTTTAATTTAATTGTGATTTTTACTTGATGGATTTTTCTAATTATCCTTTAATAGTGTCAGATTTCTGTTCTATAGACATGATTCAATCCCACATCTTGGGTACCACCCGAGACTTAAACCAACTAAGCTAGTAGACATCTATACATTGTATGCTAATAATGAGTAGAGTTTTTAAGCCTAATGTACTAGTTTAATTTGGTTTTTGGTAGATTAATAGAATTATTGAGATCTTTTATATTTGCACTTTTTTATATTATAAAGGTGAGGATGTCATCACCTTCAAAAACCCAATTTGAAGGATCCAAGTATGCAGAACAATCTGCTGTTGAAGTTGATAGCAGTGGTCTATGGAAGGAAGATGCTCCTGAGCTTAAACCTTGTTGGGCCCAACCAAGTTTGGGTATTAATTTCTGAACTCTGCAACCTTCAAAAATTTATGAATTTGATTTAATTTTTGGATCTCAGAAAAATGGAATTATGATGTCATAATATTAATTTCTTCTTTTTTTTCTTAGAAGGAGACCAATCTGAGGGATATGTTACTTTCTCCTTGACAGATGGTCCAGAATACCATGTCTCACAGGTGACTAACCAGATTCCACCTCCTTTTATTTATTTTCAAAGTTCTTGAAATTGCAATTAATGATGTCATAAAGCTCTTGTTGAAATTGCAATTAATTTTGCCCTTAAATTGGTAGGTGATTTATGTATTTAATTATTGTATACTATAATCTCTATTCTCTAAATTATGTTTTAGTTTGGATGTTGACTGATCAATAATTTTGATCAATCTCATTACTTTCTTCTTGCAGTATGGAATATAATAGAATTATAAAAAGAAGAGTTTCCTTGCTTGAGAGTTAAATGTCTTGTCATGTACATGAATTTGTCCTAGAATCTTGTTGGGGTAGCTCAATTAATCTTAAGTTTGGTAGCTTTTGCTGCCATCTGAAGTTTTGGGAAAATCACCATCAATACACATTGGTGAAAAAGCGATTTTTTTTTTTCCAGTCGAAATCAGCTAATTAAACCTTGGAATGTCAATTTGTCACTTAGGCCTATGGTCTCTATCATCTTTCTATTTATTCTTGGTTTAAAACTTGTAAATTCCCAACACCACCAAGTCACTAACTGTAGCAGAATTCTGCTGGGTAATCGTTATTACCCTTACTGTTGTTCGTGTCTCTGAACTGTGTTACAAAACTTGTAGATTTATGCTGTCATGCACACTCGTTAGAATCGGAACTGCTCCTGATTGTGTTTAGTAGGATATCTAGGTCCAGAATATCCCACTACTCTTTAAACGTAGCTTTCTACTTATTATAAGCCTATGATGTGCTTCTGTTACCAGCCTTGTAATCGGAATTTGCCACAGTGGTGTAGCATTAAGATTTTTGAGTGTTGGATCACTCATATTGACATAATGACATGCCTGAAGAATCACATGATTGCAGCCAGAAACCTGTATTTAGGTTGTTAGTTGGTTTAATTGGAAACATGCAAGATTTCCATGCTTCTCTTCAGTTTCACGTGTCAGTTGAGGTTTTGTGAGTTGATATGTAATTAGAGTAGGGCAAAGTCTGCCAACATACATTCACCATTTCAGACATTATTATGTTGCATAAATCACGATGATTGATTGGGTCTCATGCAGTAAAATTTCCTTTGACACAGATTGCTGATGCAGTGGTAGTGGCAAGAAACCTTGGTGCAACTCTTGTGGTTCCTGATATTAGGGGAAGCAAGTTGGGGGACAAGAGGTTGGTGATCAGATCTTGTAACATAACTCGTTTTGTGCAGTTATATTCTTTCATGCCGTTGACGATATCAATGTCATACAGGCTCTTCCTTTCCATTGTGCTGCATTTTTTTGTTCTGTTTTCCATTTCATTATACTCTGTAGTACCTTGGAAACCAGAAATGTGGAATTGAGGTATGCAGTATTTTATCATTGCACAAAGAAAAGGAGGAAAAAACATTGAAATGAATAGCTTTCGAAGTGGCAAATTGCACTTTTCGGCTGTGTATTATTCCTCATGCACGATTAATTTAATACGGGAAAAGTATGGAAATCTAGCAGAAGTGTAGCCTTTTTTATATTTATGTACAGTAATTGACTTTTCAACCATTCCAATTGCAGGGATTTTGATGACGTCTATGATTCTCAGAAATTTACAACTAGCTTGGAGGGGGTGGTCAGGGTAGTGAAGCAACCTCCTTCAATATCAACAAAAAAACTTGCTGTTGTGAAGGTTCCTAATCGTGTTACCAAAGAACACATTGCCGAAAATATTGAACCAGTGTTCAAAGAAAAGGGCAACATCAGGCTAGCTACTTATTTTCCATCAGTAAATATGAAAAAAGATAAAACAAAAACTGAAATTGATGCTGCTGCATGCATGGCAATGTTTGGGACTTTAGAGTTGCAACCAGAAGTTCGTGGTGTCGTGGACTCAATGATGGAGCGATTGAGAACATTGAGTCGAAAGTCAGACGGCCACTTTCTGGCTGTGGATTTGAGGGTTGATGTGTTAGAAAAGAAGGGCTGCAAGGATAAAAGTGGTTCTGCAACAAAAAGTTGTTTTAATGCCGGTGAAATTGCTACGTTTTTAAGAAAAATCGGTTTTGGTAAGGATACCACAATCTATTTGACACAATCAAGATGGGACAGCAGTCTGGACGCACTAAAGGAGCTCTTTCCCAGAACTTACACAAAGGTAACTTCTTGGTATTCTCTTATTTTTGGCAATATTAACTTATTAAGTACAACGGCCCTGTAGTACGTAACCAACATTTCCAACTGAAACCACTAAATCAAGACCTCTCATCAATGCATATCAAAACATAGTACTCCGTACTATTCTTCGCAATGCGAACAATGTAGGTAGTATGCAAATTTGATCTAACTAGCATTTACCGTTGCCAATTGTTGCAGGAAGGAATAATGCCTATGGATAAAAAGGACCAATTCCTTAATCCAGAAGCCCCAACACTAGAAGAAGTTATCGATTACTACATCTGTTCCGAAAGCGATGTTTTTGTACCAGCCATTTCTGGCCTATTCTATGCCAATGTTGCCGGGAAGAGGATCTCTTCTGGCAAAACACAAATTCTCGTTCCAGCCGATATACCTGGTTCTTCTGCTTCCCCGGATAACTACCTTTCTCATTATGTCACCAAGCAGAACCACTTGGCTTATTCATGTTTCTGCTGATAGTTTTTCAGAACCAGAGACAAAAAATAGTGGCCATACCTTTCGTAACAGTGTTCAGAATTCTGATAAAACAGGTGAGTCAAACCATTTTGATTAGTCAATGGTTGAGTGATTTTTCATACTTAAATTCAGGATAACCTCAGGAAAACTCGAGGTTATGTGATCTTTAGAGATACAGCTTGTAATATATTTATTTAAGTTGTATTGTAGTGATTTGTAAACAGTGTGATTTCAACATGTTAGTTTGATTCAGTTTGTGGCTTTATGACATGCCAACTTTTTTGTGCCCTTGCTAAGTCAAAATTAAAACTTTTGTAAGAAAAGAATAACACCAATTCTTGAATTATATCAATCAAAATTCAAACAAAAAGAAACTATACCAGTCAAATAGTAATATACTGCCATCTTTGCATTTACACTTTGCTCAGTTGTCTGTTGTTTTTACAGATAATATCAGTAACATCAGCACAAATGTTGCTAGACTTGTTGTAGGAATGGGAGTTTGAGTTATGCTCGTACTTGCCTTCCTCCTAAAACAATTGGTTGCAAGAATGTCACTTGGCTTTCTGTAGTGAGGGATCGTTGCTCACTGCAGGAAAGCAGATGGTAGAAGCTTAGATTGAAATATTTTGGCCCCTTGATTCTTACTGTAAGTTACCAAAAATAGTCATAATTTTTCACGCATTACGTGCAGTTCTAAATCGTTGGAATGGCTTCCTTAATATTTTGGACAAGGGCGTCTTTGGAACTGGTATGAATTTTCCAATAACAGCCAGAGGCCAGCTGAAAAAAATTAAGAGAAAGAATTAGATATTCAGAACCTCATTGCTTAATTGCATGACTGCAACCTTTCAAGAGACGTGTTTATCTGTTGATACTTGTAGTTCAACAAACTGTTAAGCAATTAGCTAGGCTCTTAGTGAGCGAAAAGGTACCAACCTGAAGAGGCCGATGGCAACTGAAAGAAGCCACAGTTTCCAGTTCAGTCTAACAGTTGTTGTGAACTTCCCAAGGAATTCTATGATAACTATCTGTTAAAGGTGGAAGGTAGCTTATTAGAATCAGGACTAGTGAAACTAAGATGGACATGGCAAGGAGGTACAAAAATCGAAAATTAATTTAGTGACTACAACAGCAGCAGAACCACCTACCTGAAGCACAAGTGTAACTCCAATAATCCCCATGAACAGGTGATTGCTAGTTATACCCTTGAAGACATTCAATTCATCTGGCTTACGAGCATTGAATTCGTTAAACAACTGCAGCATGAAAAGGAGATTAGGATCCAAGTTTACATCTGAATAGATTGGAGAAGTAAGAAAAGATCTACTAATACGAAATTTACAGCTTACTTGACAGAGAACAAATGCATTGAAAATCAATGTATTCTTCAACTTATTCTGATGCTCAAGATTGCCTTCTTTTAACAAAGAAAAATTGCTGCTACCAAAGTTGAAAGCAAGGAGAATAGCAACTTGATATAGCGCCTGCAAGACCAAAGCAAGGTTGTGATAACCTTGGTATCACGCGTTTTTCTTAAAAATTACTAGGAGCTTAAGATGGAGAGATATTTACCTGTACAATTAGATTCCTCCACATGACGTTCGTAACCAGAGGCTCCCTAAACAAAGAAAGGATGTCATAATCACCATAGATCAACTTTACGATAGTGCAGAATAAAGGATATCAAAGACAAAAATACAATTATTTTTCAAGAATCAATCTGAGTCTAAATTCATAATAAACCTTCTGCCAACTGGAGCTCTGCGCATGAGCTGGTTAGTTGGTGGCTCGGTGGCTAGTGCAAGTGCTCCCAAAGTATCCATGATGAGATTTACCCACAAAAGCTGCATCAACAGCATAAAACATTTTAGAGAGATAATAGGGATTTGTACAAGAGAAAGGAGAGCAAGAGACACTACCTGCACAGCATTAAGAGGAATACTGCCCGAGGAAACAGCAGCGACAACATTAATAATAAGTGCTGCAACATTTACTGTGAGCTGGAACTGTATAAATTTTTGAATATTTGCATACACAGAACGTCCCCAACGTACAACCTGCATTCATATAAATCTTCAGTTGCTTACTCTACCAGTAGGTTCTTTTCTTGAAAGACTACATGAAAAGCTTAGCAATACATGTTACACTACCTTAACAACTGATGAAAAATTATCGTCCAAGATAATGATGTCAGAGCTTTCTTTAGCGACTTCTGTTCCAGAAATGCCCATGGAAAGACCAATATCTGCCTAAAGTACGAGTAACATCAACTAACCATGGCAGAATTTTTGAGACTGAATGGCTTAAAAATGACTATAAGTAAAATCATAAAAATATTTGCTTAATATATACTTCACCACATAGAAAATGAACTAACATCAATTTCAAGCTAAAAAAGAAATCAGCCTTCCTGATAAGACTTTACACAGTAATGAGAGAACAGGATCAGCTATATAAATATCACAAATTGAAATAAACTACTTTGAACTGCTTCATTAAGTTGTACACTATAGTTGATGTGTTAAAATAATTGATACGTATTTTCAGCAAAGTATCGGTAGTACAACTGTACAACAGTTGATGAATTATAAACTTATCCTCACAACTTCACAAGTAACATTTTGTTATAATAAGTGTAATGAAATCTTAGTTTCATATTTTAACTTGTAACTTATAGAACTGGAATGACGTTCTTTCAACTAAGGAGATTCACGCAGATTATATCATTCCAACTTTCCATCTAAGCTGCCATAATAAAAACCACTTATCAAATCTGTAGGACAACGTTGATTATAGGAATACATAAAAAAACCAGAGTGAAACCGTCATACACATCTGAGTATTTACTTTGGTGAATTCGTAAGATGTTCAATCCAATATGAGATCACAGCAGCGAGGATGGTTTCAACAAAAGAAGCAAGCAACAAACATCATCTTTTCCCATAGGGTATAAGGAATCCTTTAAGCAAGCTCATATTTTGTTACATTAATAAAACCCAAGTCCTCTTTAAATAGAGCCTGTGTATGAAATATAAGCAAAGAGAACTATTTACTTGAAGCCCAGGAAAATACCTCATTTAGAGCAGGGGCATCATTGGTGCCATCTCCTGTGACAGCTACAACATCACCTCCCTTGCGTAAAGCCCGCACAAGCAATAGTTTGTCATTTGGAGATGATCTTCCCATCACCTGTATACAAGAAAGAAAAAGGCTTAGAATATTGAGAAGGAAGAGATTAGTCATAAATAAGATAAAAAGTTCATGCCAATCAGACATACTGTTATTTTTTTGGCAACTTCCTCTTGTTCTTTTTCTGAAAGGGCACGGAATGCTCTCCCTTCAATGACAATGGGTTCTGTAGCATCAGCACCTGGAGGAAGAATCCCACACTCTGTAGCAATTGCTTTTGCGGTTTGAATGTTATCCCCAGTTACCATGCGGACCTGTTGTTGCAATTCAACTTAATTAAGTGCTGAATCTAAAAGTAGTAGTGAATCTTTAAGTTGTTTTCTTAGTAGAGAGCATCGTGCAAATCTTTCTGCCTGTTTTAGCTACCCCGTTGGGGTTGCTGAAGAAGAATTATTAACAGATGGTTTCCCCAACTTTGGCAGGACTTTACAACGCATTAAAAAGCTTCCCATCTCATTTTCTCTCTTGAAAAAAGTCAAGTGAGTTGATTTTGTTGATCACTCACAATATCTTATCATTCATTTAAGCTAACAATATAGCTTACAAATTAAAATTGCATAGAGTATTGTACCTTCACACCAGCAGCTGTGCAGAGTCTCACTGCTTCATCAACACCAGGCCGACAAGGATCCTACACAAGAAAATTAGACAGTAACATTAAGGAAATTCGGAGTTTAAAATTTATGAAATCATAGGCTCTTTCAATTGAGATTCATAATAAAATGCAAGAAAGAGTTTCTATCCTCTAAGAATATCACACTATCCATTCACCCCTCAACAAATACTGTATGTTCACGTATAGCAAGAAAATGGAAATCTTCTCAGTCACAGTCTTGCTCCTTCAGCCATTCAGCAGTATGACAGTCAGTTTAACTATAACATCAGATGTTTAACAATCGCATAACTGATAAAGACACTGAAACCTTTGCCCATGAACTAGTAAAGAGTCAATGAAATACATCCTCATCTCTACAATTTATAAGAACTTTAAGCTACTTATGAAGAAAATATATACACATTACATTCAAATTTCTCCCAGGTGTTTCCCTTTCTAAATCTTAGATCAGCTATTGCTTCCATTCTAACATTACTTAAACGCAATCACAATGCTTTTAATCTTACATTAAACATACTTCGTCTGACATTCAGTGTTATAAAGGTAGATCAGGTCAGAGTCTTATAGTGTGAAACAGATGATAGCGTTATATTATATTAAACGCAGATTACATCAGTCTAAGAACAGATGGTAGCATTATATAGATTATTTGCCACTTTCTACTATTCGAAGGCATACAATTGTGAGTGAAGAAATCAATTTTAGAAATAGCTCTTTCTTAGCATATAATTTTGTCTGCACCAGAGTACTTCATTCATATCTATACCTTTATGCCAACAATTGCTACCAAAATCAGGTCATCCTCTGGTAGAGTCCATTGTTCTAGCTCCTCCTCATTGGTATTTGGAACATCATTTCTGTCATAGGGTCTATAGGCAAGGGCGACACATCGCAAACTTTTTGCTGCCATATCATCAATGATTCCTTTAAAGAATGACTGCGGAAAAAATTTACACTGTAAGTATCCAGAGATGAATAGTAATATTAACAGCTGATTTTAAAGAGGATCTATACTTAGCATCAATATTCAATTACACGGTTTTACACAACTCAATCCAAGAGAACTCTTCACACAATCTTTAAAAACAAAATTATCTTCAGCTAAATAAGCTACATAAGAGTAGTTATTACCATTTCATTTTTAATCGGTTTCACAGAGCCATTCTCGTCAAAAAATTGTGTGCATGAAGAAAGAACCATCTCAGCTGCCCCTTTCCAGTGAATATGAACATCAGAGTTGGACTGCAACAATATTAGAAGTTTGAAACTTAAAACAGCATAAGAACATTAATTAGATAATACGTATTGTAGTAAATACTTCGGATTCTTATAAGGGAGATCATACACATAAAGCAATGTGTACTTTTAACTTAGAAGATAGCAAGGTCAGTAACACACACATCATATCTATCCAATAATGTAAATTTATGACAGGGAAATGCAGGGAGGCAAGTACCAGCTGCAATGCAACTCCACCACGCTTTTTCTCTGAATTGAATGGGCAAACATGGAGAATAATGGCTTCTGATCTCACAGCATCAAACTTCATACCCATCTTTGAACATATGACAAATTTACAAGGATAAGTATATATAATATAAGGGAATAAACGTGTTTTGGAAATAAACTACTGATTCTTAAAATATATTAAGGATATACCTCTACTCCCCAGGACAAAATAGCCTTTTCTGTAGGAGATCCAGAAACTTCTACATTGCCACCCTCCTGTGGAAGAGATTAATAGAAGCTAACATCATTTTAGATATCAAATGGAAGAGGAAAAACTATAGAATACCAATGAGTGAATTCCTTTCTGTAAAGAAGAGCACTTATTAAAGTAACAGAATTCCATTACTTGAATACGAACTTGTCAAAAACAAGAAAAAAAAAAAGTATTAGAAAATAACATCATACCTTAGGAACAAAAACACTACCAGTGGTATTAACTGCAACACCTTCGATTACAAGAGTGGAGAGCTCCTTCATCTGGGAAGCATCATTTGGTGGATTCAACTTCTTTTTACCAGCATAGGCTTCCACTACAGTCATCTATAAGAAAATAAATCAGCGAACGATTTAAACAATTACAGAAGGCTTTCTCCACATGTTCCCCTCTTTGTTGATTTATAAAGAACTTAACTTAGCTTCTTCTCAACCCATTGCAATAGAAAACAGTAAAAAACTAAAAACCAATGATTATGTATGAAGCTACAGAAATATAAACCAATACTCACCTGATTTAATGTAAGTGTTCCAGTTTTATCACTGCAAATAGTAGTTGCAGAACCCATAGTTTCACAAGCTGAAAGCCTTCGTACCTGTAAAAACAAATAAATAAAAGGATATTAATGTTATACAGTGATAAAATGAACCTGAAAATTCTATAGAAAAATCAAATAAGGCTCATTGAAATGGCAATAAAACAAAATGGCTACTCAAGACTTCTACACATACACTAGTTTATCAATACTTCACAATGAAATTTTGAATAACCGTGAGGCTTAGGAGAGATAGATTATAAATTATAGCTTAATAAATCCTTATAGTTATAGCAAATAATGACTAAGTCTGCATCCTCCAGTTATGTTCTATTAATTGGTAGTCAAATAGCACGATCAACAAAAACCTTTTCAAATATCAAAGCAGTGAAATGTTAAGATTGCAAAATTTTGACATAATACAGATATCAATACATATCAATCCGATATCATGCAGATACATACAGCACAAATAGTATCTTAAATAGTTAACAAAACAACATGAACTGAAAGTGCGATTCTATTTCCACGTTTAAGCACATTTCTGGGAGGATGTACATTACAAGTATATTCCCAAATTAAAGATGCAGAAAAAGGAAAGCAAAAAAAAAAAAAAAAAAAAAAAAAAAAAAAAAAAAAAAAAAACATACTAGGGCTTTATCTGCCATCATTTTGCGCATCGAGTAAGCTAGGCTGTCAGGAAAAATAACAAAAATAAATACTGAGACACCAAAAACAACACAAAAATTACCCAGATGGGAAAAAGAAAAACAACACTCTTACGTTAAAGTAACAGCTAAGGGGAGTCCTTCAGGTACTGCAACAACCACAATCGTGACCTGAAATGTGCGATGGTCAAGAACATGAACCACTATATAAGGTTTACATCAGAAGAATTAATCATACCGCAATGGTGAAAATCTCAATCACTCCATCAACTGCTTCACTAAAGCTTGTTTTACCCCCAACAAATTGTACTTTACCATCAGGACCTTTGGTGTGGCCAGTAAAATATCTGCAAGAATATCCTTAAAGTTACAGCTCCCACTGGACGATGTTCCACTAGTCAGTAAAATAAATGACGCATATAATACTTACCGTAGCACCAGAATGACCAGGACGGCTACAGCAACAGAAAGCCCAACTATGCCTATAAAAGTTGCCACCCCATTTAATCGCACCTAATTAACATATGTGTTATTAAAAGCCCAACTCTTCTGAAAACAATCTAGAGGCAAAAGGAAACGAAAAAAAAACCTGCAAAGGAGTTTCTTCACCGGTGTCTTCAGAGATACTTGCCATCAGCAATCCCCATTCGGTATTAATTCCAACACCAGTAATCTAAAACCAGAAAAAGTAGCTAATGCTCAAACAAATGCAATACAGCATAGAATAAAACATACCAAATATTAAGACTCAAATGAATACTGAATGAATACAAAAAAAGCTCATACCAGCATATTTCCAAAGCCATCTGCCACTTTACAACCGGCTAAAAGAAAGGGTGACTTTTTGTCTTTATGAACCTGTGAAAAGAGGCATACATCTTGAAAAATATCAATTTAGCAATACCAAAATTAATTTCAAAGTAGCCTAACCAGCTTACAATCTTGCTTTCTCCAGTCATGCTGGATTCATCAATCGCCAAGGAGTGACCAGATATGAAGACTCCATCAGCAGGGACCTGGGTTTACAAAATAAGAAGTTCAAGTTAGTATTCTCGGGTCATGCTAGATTCAGCAAGTGAACAGAAAACGTAACTATGTGCACCTGGTCTCCAATTTTAAGAGGCACAACATCACCAACAACAATGTCAAATATAGAGATCTTTTCCCTTCTGCCACCTCTAATCACCTGCATTGACAATATTGTGCAATTAGATATGTGCAAAAATATATCTAAACCCAATAGATTTGTATAAGGAATAAGCAAGATAAAGTGTGCCGTATGTTTTGTTAAAGATCACACACCTCTAGCTGAATATTCCTTTTCTCTGCGTTCAAATTTTTAAACTGAAGAGATTGTCGATAATCACTGATGGCTGTTGATAAATCAAATTAAGTTTGATGAAAAAAAGGAAGTTACTCATATCATATATTTAAAGCAGAAGAGATAATAATTTCAAGTTTACGACAAGAAAATGCCAAAAAAAAAAAAAAAAGTTTACGACCAGAAAATTGGAACTGTGCAGGCAATGACTAAACATAATGTATAGTAATGAACGAAACAAGCAAGCCTGAAACCAGTGATACGCACAGACATATCTAAATAGCTGTCAGAACAGTATACATATCCATCTCCCCTCTCCTTCCCCTCCCTCCTACCTTCCCCACTTGCAAGTTTCCAAAGAATAAACTAGTTATTACACCAAATGAATTTCAAAAATGATCTTAGAAAAGAAACTCAAGTCTCAGACGTCAGACCTAACCAGTTATTTCAATCTAAAACCTTTGTTTTTGAACATTGTAAACTTTTTTGCACCCAACAACAGTTAGGTGCTTTTTTAACAAGAATGACTTGATTTTAGAGTAAGCTTCAACATCAACTACACTAAATCAAAGCCATGAAATCTCAAACCCAGCTCCAGTCTCTCTTTGCCATTATGTCTCATCTACCAGCTAACAACAAAAATAAAAAGGTTTAGTGGCAATATTCATACCAGTAACAAATATGACAAGCAACACTGCAAAAACAATGCTTCCTCCATCATACCATCCTTCCTTAAGACCCTGCATTTAGAAACTAGAGTCAAAATTTCAGCCTTGGAGAGGAGATTAATACAAGGGGAAAGCAGTAGATTACTTAATAAGTCAATGACTGTCGGGAGGTCAATAACACATATTTCCCTAGAGAAACAGAAGTAGGATTCTTTTGTACAAGAAAAAATTCCAAGAGAGCTATTTATGTTCAAAGACCCTTACAGAAATCCAGTAATACAAGCTCACCTCAGTTTTAATCCCTAATGCTAGTGACACAACTGCAGCTATGATTAAGATAATAAGGGTCAAATCTTGCCAAGATTCCCACAGAAAAGACTGCAAAAACAAGGAATTTATCAAATCAGAATAATTTCTGATAAAAATGAAAAATGCTTTGGAGGTGTTTTCATAAAGTAGACAAACTGATTACCCAGAAACCCTTTCCCTTTTTGGTAGGGTATGTATTTGATCCAAATGAGTTCTTTCGCTTTACAATATCATCCACCTCCCCTGAGACTCCTGTTTCTAAGTTTGTACTAAGCTTATCTTCCAGCCCTTTAACCTGAAAGTCACAATGTTGTAAAGTCAGTAGACAATTATCATTGCATGAAGGGTAGAAGTAGAGATAATATTACTTACTCCTCCATAATCATCCAGAGCTGAAATTTTATTATCCCTGACCATTGTAGAAAGTTGTTCAAGTCCAATTCCATAATCACCCGTTGATATTGGAGGTGACAATGAAGGGTCTAGCACTAAATACATATCATGAAAAGAACATAATAAGCAACTGTCACAGGAATCAAACTTTAAGTGTAGGCTGTGTAACACAGGATCAAGGGATTACCAATATCTCGTTGCCCAGCCAATTTGAAAAGCATTGCTGCCTGATGAACCACCAAAAGAAACAACAAAAGTAAGAAATATATCACATTAAAACAACAACAATAAAACAAGTACATCAATCTCGGAAAAAAGTCTGGTAATACTTACTCTCACAACTTGCGCATGGGCTCTTATCATTCTTCTCCTTTGCTCTTTCTCTTCATCCTTCTTTAGATCCAAGGTGTAGCGAAATCGACGGGAGGCATTTAGCACAAGTGCTGCTTGCTGCAATGGGGGAAATGTATCAGAAACTTTAAGTTCCAAACACCCTCATTATCTATTGTGACACCGTAACACAAGGCAGAAACCCAATAAAAAGAAGTTTGTGTTATGAATAACAACACGATCAAATAAATATGTTCATTCAAAGGAATATAAGCTAGTAGCAATTGCCAAAAATCAAAAATCATGTCACTGGAATCCCTATTCCAACATGGTTGATATTACCCTAAAAGCTCTTGGAAAACATTGTTGGAAAATCTCCACTACACTACGTCTGTTGCTACAACTTGATCTTATCTCAAGCCTTTAATAATTATCATTACTATACTAATATCATGTCAAAAAAAATAATCCCTGCTTACCTCTTAAAGGACATACTGAGGAAATATAATCATCACTAAAAGAACATTAGACTCTCAGAGTGATGAATGGAATATTATCATACCAAGCCACAAACAAATGTAGTGTAGTAGTAACAGAAAAAAAAACAAAAATACCAAGTAACAGATTAATGTCAGAAATCTGAAAATCTTGAAATCTATAGAATACATGTGTTTAAGCAGAATCCACTCTAGCTAAAAACCAAATCGAGGGTTCACTAGCCAAAAAGCTCTGCAGGTATTTGGAAGATAATTGTATGAAATAAACAAAGCCATCTTGATACAAGGGATGTTTTTAATAAAGTAGAAAAGATTATTTACAACGGCATTTGTTAGATGATCCCGAAATTAGCAATTCACTTTAAGGAAATCAACATCCAAGTTAAGTATATTTACTGAATTTCAGTTCTCATGCTCCAGTAGACCACATTACACTTCCATCTACCAAATAGATACTCCTCACTAGAAACAAGTCCAATAATATAAGTTTTTGTTATATACTGCCATCCTCAAGCACAAACTCCACTTCTCCAACCCAAAAATAATATTGCTGAGGAAACGGGAGCCAGGGAAGAACCTTTTATAAGAATCTGTTTCTACCATTGTTAACCAGATGTATCTTTTCATGACCCATGCATCAACTGCAACACCAGAAATATCTCCCTCTATGATTGCAAAGCATCATATATATGTTGATAGAATATGCAAAGCCGAAATGTGGAACTCTCATCACATGCAAAAACCCCAGATTCTTACAAAAATATTTGTACACGATGTATCATCTTCATGGCAACCTAGGTACCTTTTCATATAAGCAACTTCTCCAAATATTTTGATTGTTAGGAATAAATATTACATTTGAACCTCTTAAGGCATCCAGCAAATTTCTGTGTACAGCAATTGAGAGGAAGTACCACTCTCTGTCGGGTATGTATTTCATCATACATACTATCGTATTGCGGTTAAAAATGCCAACCTTTTTTTTTTTTTTTTTTTGGGGGGGGGGGGTTAATTTCATTGTATTGTAAGATACAACTTAAATACTTAGTACAAATAGTACCCCTGAATGGTCTAGTAGTAAAAGTAAAACCTTCCCACAGTGCTGTAAAAACCTCCAATGATATGTTTTTTTTTTTTTTTTTTTGACATTTTTCACTCTCCTCTCTTTTCTGGCCACATCTTTTTTTCCTGATCTTCTCACCTTTTTCTTTCTCTTTTTCCTTGAGGTATAGATTGGCCCTCCCGTACCACGTAGGTGCCTATCCAGCCTCGTATGGTTGTCTCTTGAAAACAATAGGCGAACCCTGTGGTTGTGGTTACTCGGCTACAATGATTGTCTTCAAAGAAACAACATGTTCTAAATACTACAAGAATTTTTAACAAATCATCCTTGTCGTCGATCATTGTCTTGTTTGTTGGAGTCTTTTACACCTTCAACACTACCTTCCTTAATTCATATAACCATCACAATCACCACAAAATTGATTGAACCCCACCATGAACAAAATCACATGGGCATCCTCTCCTAGTGAATAGTCTAAATACAATCCAATCATCACTCTTTACATATAATATCCATTTAAATTACATTATAATCAAACGCACAATAACACAAACACATAAACAAATAAGATCATGTTACATGGTACAAGGGTAACAACATATAAACAATTTCTTTTTAAACACCAAATAAAAAATAAATAAATAAAGCATACCCTCCAACGCCTAAGGGATTCAGGTGGTGCATTCTTAGTATTGGCAATATCAAAAGGGTCATCAAAATACTCGTCCTCGTCCTCCACCTCCTTCTCGACCGCCTCGTATTCATGTTCATTGTCATAAGCAACACCCGCCTCAACATCAACACTTCCCGGCGGCAACATCTCCTTGTTATCGGTTGGCTCGAGGCCACCCGCCATGATAAATAGCCCTTGTTTTTCCTCAAACTATTTCTTTATTTGTCACTAAACAAAATAAAATCATAAAAAACCCCCAAAAAAAATTAAGGAGCCTTCTCAAGGAGAGATGGCACCCGCCCTATAATTTTTTGGGGGTAAACAAATTAGTTCAGAGCCAGTGCCGCCACCCCCTACTCAACCCAAAAACAACCAAACAAAAATACAAACCCCAAAAAAAATTTGAAAAAAAAAAATCCCAAAAATAATTATTGGATGAATATTAACCAACAATAAAATCGGATCATTCGGAAAAAAAACCAAAAAAATCCCAGATAAGAGAAACGTGTAAAATGGCTGAAGGAGAGAAAATACAGGAGAAATAACACACGTTTTAAATTGCATATTAAAAGTAATTAATTCTATTAATAGTAACAGTTTTACTTAATTAAAAACGCTGAATTTAGATTCATTGTATTCATAATTTAAAATTTATTAGTGGGTATTTTGTTAAAGAAACTTACCGCAAACACAGCAAAAATTATGCCGCCAATCTCTCTGGTTTTTCTTCGGTGTTCCTTTCTGAAAGTACATTTTTTGATGATTATTTGAATTAGTTGGTTAAGTTAGTGGTGATGAATGCGATGACGATTGTGGATGAATCTGCTACACTACACAGAAAGTGGGGAATAAGTAGTTGAATATAAGTAGAGTCGATTTTTGTAACTTTCGTAGAAATTTCCCGCCTTTTAAAAGTTATTACTCTTATACAGTAGAGTACAGTACTAGAACCCGTGGTACACACGATTAGAAAAATTCAGATGTATACCTCCGTTTTCTAATGTTCTTAACACTACGATAAAGAAGGGAGAAAGTGGGGTAAGAGAGAATAACGTAGTAAAAGTGGTTTGTAAAACATGGAATAAAGTACTTTGACAAAAACAAAATTTATAAAGAACATTATGAAAAGGAGTGTATGAATGAATAATTAGATTGGAATAATATAAACCTTACATTTTCCACATTTTCTATGAAAAGCCTTAAATGTACTATCTAAGCTTTTTTGAGTGCATGATACGTCGAAGCTCATTTATGTTTTCCAAGGACTAAGATTGTAACTTGAATTTAATTGAATCGAATTAAACTGAATTATAGAAGAGAAAATTGAGTACTAGACTAGTGAGTCACTGAATGAGTGGCCTACTCATAACAATAACGAGTCACGAGCTCTTATCTATTGACCATATATTCCATGGCCAGATTGAAGTCTGCTCACACCTAACTCACATTATTGTCCTTCAAACTTTCCAATTTCAAATATAGAGTGATTGATCATTTGATCTCCATTGTCGCATGCTTTTCATCAATTTCACTCCAATCCACCGTCTTTGATGGTGTGTAAAAAGGATTCCTGGTTGCGGCGGTTTGAAAAGAAAATTACGAGCTAGAGTAAACCATCCAAAATCATTAAGCTTTCAAGTCATAATGTGAGCAGACCTAAAAGCATCTATTATAGACTTTTAGCTCACACTGTTCAACGGAGAACAAAAGCAAGACAATGATAAAAAATGGCGCCTTTCGGCATAAAATTCTCCAATTAATCATATAATTTTCATAATACTTCCAGATTTCATTGAACCACAGGACCACAAAATTAAGCTTGTATTCTTCCTATTGCTCTTCATTCAAGGCCACAGTCACGGGTATTAAGTATTAATCAGCGTGAACTATCAAACAAACTACTTTTAAAACAATCAATCCACATATCTCCGTGCATTATGTACACAAGTCAAGACTCAGCAAAATTCTGGGTAATTACAAATCAGACAGTGGCCAAAACTCAACAATCATTAGATGAAAGTACTGAATATATCAAGAAGGTGGGATGATAGGGTTATGAGCCTCAATGTCAACATGCTGAATTCCTGGAACAAGCTTCTGGATCTCTGATTCCAGCCTATCTACTTCACTTCCAAGAGCAGTCACAACTTCCTCGCCTGTCATTTACAATAATTAAGCTTCTCTAAGTGATGAAATAGTTCTACATAAATTTACCCTTAGACATGCATGTTACCCTCTTTGACTGCACATGCTCATTTCAGAAAGACTTAGTCCACAATTACATACCATAGTTCGACATAACCTTGAGCAATTCAGTGTCATCTTCTCCATTTGCAGCATCCCGGAACTGCACAGTAAGAAACTCTCAACTAAGTATACAGACAAGGAGTTTCCCCCACAAAAACAAGGGTGGCATATACAGATGTTTCACTTAATTAGCAAACACTGTACACAAACTATGTTACTTTGACTTGGCATTTTTGGTACCAAACCTGTGTCAGTACAATACAGCAAAGACAAGGGTATGGAATCCATACCCGACAATTGATCTAACAACTGAACAATTCATGTGACTTAAATCCACAGGTAAGACAAACGAAGGGGCCAAGAAGAGAGGCTTTAGGAGAGTGCAATCAACATAAAGGAATAGATTTGCCATTCAAGGAGCAACGTAGAGGTCCTAGATTAAAATGGTAAATATATGCGTGGATCTAACACGTTTTTGAGTTGAGTCCAAGTGGAGTTACTTATTGGGCTTTGGATTTTAGGGCCCTTGATATTCTAATGATTTTAGTTTCATGTCTTGATATTAGATATGGATTATTATTGTTAGAGGCTGTATTCAAGAAGTTAGAATCTCGTATCCTGCATCCATTCCAAAACTAGAAGTGTACCCATAATTCTAAATTCGAGTCTTGCCAAGTTAGATATGTACACGTATGCAACACCTATAACTGAGTTTATCGTAGGTCATGCACCAAAAAGTGAACATACTAGGAGAAATAATCTATTAATAAAAAAAAAAGTATAAAAAATGGATGATAGGCTTATAGAAAATTACCTGTCTAGCCCATGGTTCACGCCCAGCACGATTAATGTAATTTTGCACCAGCACGACACCATTGAAATCTGTTGCATGGACACCTTTCAGGGTTAATTCACTTTAATATAGCTACATTTAGTCACGTATGAAACATTAAGGGGTATATAAAAGATTAGTCATATAAATCCAATAATTTTAACATAGATCCTTGAGCACATAATTGATAAAGCATCATATGCTTAATTAAAACATTACAGTTTCTCATTTTGTATGCACTGAAGATATTCGCAGAAAGTGCTGGACAAAATATTCATGGTTATGATAACTTCCTGAACCCATTCGTTGTCCAAAATACATTAAAAACTATATTGGCTGACACCTGACTAGAGTATGTTCATGTTATTAACCACAAAGGTAGCAAAATTGACAAGGCAATAAAAAATAACTGCCTCCATCCCCAAAAAAAAAGAGAAGGAAAGAAAAATAATAAAGTATCTACTGCCGTTCCTGGTGAGCAATTGAGCATGGTATCCACTAAATGCACATATCATGCAGCATAACTGTAAAAATTAAAGAAAGGAAAGTGAGAAGATTCACCAATTTCTGCCTTAAATCTGAAGAACCCAGGTCCAATCACCTCACTTTTGCAGTCATAAATTGCATCTACAACCTTTCAAAGATTTAAGGACAAGCAGTGAGAAAGGAGATGCTTTATAACCATAGTGTAACTGATTAAGTTAAGCAGTGATTCAAATGAAAGTGTGGCACCCAAAGAAGACATACTGGGTCATTTTTCAAAAACTCCAAGACCTTTTGCATATCCTGGTCATCAATTGCCCTTCCAATCAAAGCATGACGATTTCTTTGGATCAAGAAAATGGCAACCTGCGATTATTCCACAAACAAATACCCATTAATTATGAAGGAAAGAAACAAACTCTAGTATTCATAAGCCACAAGTTGCTACATTAACTACTTCAAAACAATAATTTAATAAAACATTTGGTATCAGACGAGTTCTATATTTTTCTCCTTTCCTCAAATTTTGATTTCAATTCCATTAAACATCATTTAGAGCCCAGTATTACTCCTGCCACAGGCAAGGTTGGGAGGTTCTCATGTACACAATGTAACTCCTAGTAGTCATAGATTTAGAGAGGCTGTTTTCCAAGGACCACACTCCATTCCATTGATTAACTAAAAGTCTAATATGCAAACATTAGAAAGAAAGAGCTCCCAAGTTCCAACAATTAAAGACTTCGACCTAATCTTTTTGGTGCCTCTTGTGGTATACAATACATTGTGATGACTTAAAGATACTGTTGCAGATGCTCAGTATGAACTTTTTTCTACCACGTTTTTCTCTCCAATACGAGATAGTTCATAGTTGTATGACTTGTATACGAGTATGAGTTGGAGTGTCCTTGACTCATGTCAACCAAAATATGCCAAAAAACTGCTATGTATAAATAAGATGGTTTTCAAGTTCATCATGTGAGTTTTGCAAGTTGAATAGGAAAGAAATGTTACTGCTTTCTATTTTAACGTTGTAATTAATTTGGTTGGAGATGGATGATAACACCTTTCAAGATTGGGTATCTGCTCCGGTTCCTATGTGGGAAGTTGTATATAATATATAGCTTCTCTGTGGCTCAGGCTCGTGGTGCTGTTTCCGGCTTAAATATTGTGGTCTACAGACCCACTCTTTCACACTTGTAAATCGAGATCAATTGGCTCTTTCACACTTTTCTGTCAGTTGTCGAGTATGGCAGTGGCACATAGGAAAGATACAGTGTTTTAAGCTTTATTTTTATGCATTTAAAAGGCTTGGATATTTATGTAGTTCACCTAATTACCTAAAGATGTGTAATTTCGATAACAGCAACCATCAAAAAGGAATGGAGGTAGTATTACTTTTACCACATAACATTCATAATACTCCGTAACAAATGTTATTATGTAAAGTATATTTAGATTGGTCTATATAAAATTTTCAATGGATCAAGTTTTGATAATTTTTCATTATTGATAATTAATATTGATTGTTAATGTTG